GTCCTTCACCTAGCTTGAAGGGAACACAAAGTTTCTTTTCAGTTGCCAACTCCACTACATACATATATATGGGGAATTAAAAGCTCCAACTCAGTTTACTGTGAAAACGGCAGGAACTTGAAACCGGCACTTGGAAAGAGACAGAGAAACCAGAGTAAGTATTTCTCCTGCAACCCATTCCCTTTGTGCTGCATGAACGATCATCTCTCAACATGCTCAGTTCTGATAGATAACAGTGTGTGAAAGTCGTCCTTCAACTAACTTGAAGGGAACACAAAGTTTCTTTTCAGTTGACAACTCCACTACATACATATATATAGGGAGATACAAGCTCAAACTCCGTTGTACAGTAAATAAGGCAGGACCTTCCAACAGGCAATAGGAAAAAGACTGAGAAACCAGAGTAAGTGTTTGTCCTGCAACCCATTCCCTTTGTGCTGGATGAGCGAACGTCTCTCCACGTGCTCAGTTCTGAGAGATATGTGTGTGTGATAGCCGTCCTTCACCTAGCTTAAAGTGAACACAAAGTTTCTTTTCAGTGGTAAACTCCACTCCATATATATATATGGGGAGATAAAATTCCAACTCGGTTTTACAGTGAAAAACACAGGAACTTCAAACCGGCAATAGGAAACAGACTGAGATCCAGAGAAAGGGTTTCTCCCGCAAGCCATTCCCTTTGTGCTGGATCAACGAACGTCTCTCCACATACTCAGTTCTGAGAGATAAGTGTGTGTGAAAGCCGTCCTTCACCTAGCTTGAAGGGAACACAAAGTTTCTTTTCAGTTGCAAACTCCACTACATACATATATATGCGGAGGTACAAGCTCCAGCTCGGTTTGACAGTAAAAACCGCAGGAACTTCAAACCGGAAATTGGAAACAGACTGAGAAACCAGAGGAAGTGTTTCTCCTGCAACACGTTCCCTTTGTGCTGGATGAACGAAAGTCTCTCCACATGCTCAGTTCTGAGAGATAAGTGTGTGTGAAAGCCGTCCTTCATCTAGCTTGAAGGAAACACGAAGTTTCATTTAGGTTGCAAACTCAAATACATACATATATATAGGGAGGTCCAAGCTCCACCTCGGGTTTACAGTGAAAAAAGCATGAACTGCCAACCGGCACTAGGAAATAGACTGAGAAAACAGAGTAAGATTTCCTCCTGCAAACCGTTCCCTTTGTGCTGGATGAACGAAAATATCTCCACATGCTCAAATCTGGAAGATAAGTGTGTGTGACGCCCGTCCTTCACCTAGCTTGAAGGGAACACAAAGTTTCTTTTCAGTTGCAAATTCCATTACAAACATATATATGGGGAGGTACAAGCTCCAAATTAGTTTTACAGTGAAAAC